TAAAAGTTAAGTTATATATATATAAATATTGTTTTTTTAATTTTGCAACTTGTAACTTAGTAAATTAGCAATTTAGACGCGTTTCAAGTTTCATTTAAAAAATTGACTTCAATTTTGTAGTCCCACAAGTCGTAACAAGTAGAACTTCAGGATGCGCCCCGCACTGAAACCAGCCGAACGCCGGATGCAAGTTAATGAGTGACCCACATCAAAGACAAAACCATATTAACTATATATATATCTAAACAGACACAGCTACAGAACTACAGCTAATTTTCTATATATGTATTTGTCTATTTAGCACCATGCCCGTTGATCCCATGGATGACATCGAACTGCGCTCGGTGCAGCTGCAATTCCCCAATGCGCGCGGCTCCATCTTAGAGGCCTGCGAACAGCGACGCATGCCCACAGACAAGGGCGACATACATGTGGCCATACAGGGTGACACCTCAAAGCCGGCCATAGTGACCTATCACGATTTGGGACTCAACTGTAAGCAAGCCTGCCTGCCACCTGCCTCCCACACCTGAACTAATACAGATATATATGTATATTTATATGTATTCCATGTTGTATAAAAAACAGATGCCACCAGTTTCGCTGGCTTCTTCAATTATCCAGTCATGCGCGGATTGCTGGAGAACTTTTGTGTGTATCATGTAACTGCACCCGGACAGGAGGAAGGCGCGCCCACATTGCCAGAGGAGTAAGTGCCCCAAATAATTGCTTAAGGTGGACTCTTTGCCCTCCAGAGAGCCATCGAGCAAATTATTCAAAATTATGCCCAAAAGAGCCTCAAAAAAAAAAAAAAGTTCAAAGTATGCAAATACAGCATTTGAATGAATAGGCAAATCTTTTAAATTAATGTGAGGGCGTTGAATCATAATTATTTATGGCTGTACTTTGTTTTAAATGAAAGCAACTTTAAGCTATGGTTAATGTGCATTGTACATTGAGTAGAGGCGGATAGGAAAATAGTATTGTAAAATGTTTTATTGTGTTTTTTGTATTCTTTAAGAGTTATAGATGTTTTGCGATATTATCGATAACACTTTAGCTTAGTTTATTTAAGTTTGTATTAAGAGACATATTGTATAAGCTGGTCTTTTATAGAGATAGCTATATTTTGTATAAGCTAAAACCTCTATAAGGCTATATTTTGACTTATGACTGTATTTATTTATCTACCAATCATAGAGCAGCCAGAGCAAGTTTTTCTGAAAATTATATGATAAATCTTAATTGCTTCAGCAAAGGCACGTAGCAGAAAGCAATAGAGATTCTAATTGTTATTGAATATTGTTTAGTTAACTATTAGACTATGTCTGAGCATTGGCAAATGTGAAACTAAAACTAATATATATAATCTGAAATTGTATTTGACTCGAATTAAGTGAAATCTAAAAGCTAAATTACCTACTTAAATTTACTGTTAGGACTGTTAGGCCTTATAAAAACAACTGTAATTTACATCTTGATCACACATCATCTAAATCAATATCTTCTCTGTCCCTGTCTCCACCCGCATAGCTATGTGTATCCAACCATGGATGAGTTGGCAGCCCAGCTGTTGTTTGTGCTATCGCATTTTGGCCTAAAGTCGGTGATTGGGTTTGGTGTGGGCGCTGGGGCCAATATACTGGCACGTTTCGCCCATGCTAATCCGGATAAGGTGGGCGCCCTGTGCCTAATTAACTGTGTGTCAACGCAATCAGGCTGGATCGAATGGGGCTATCAGAGTTTCAATGCGCGCTTCTTGCGCACCAAGGGCATGACGCAGGGCGTCATCGATTATCTGATGTGGCATCATTTCGGACGCAATCCAGAGGAGCGCAACCATGATCTGGTCCAGATGTACAAGCAGCACTTCGAGCGTGGCGTCAATCCCACTAACCTGGCAATGTTCATCAATGCGTATATACATCGCAACGATTTGCATTTGGCGCGCACACCGCCGGGCACACCTGGCGCTGAGACGGCAGCGACTACGCTGAAAATGCCCGTTATCAATATAACGGGTTCGCTGTCGCCGCATGTGGAGGATACGGTGACATTCAATGGCCGATTGGATCCAACTAATTCGTCCTGGATGAAGGTTTACCTAAAATCACATTCCTTCTGGTTGCATAAATATTAAAGAGTTTTTATTTTTTTAATTTAGATCTCTGATTGCGCCATGGTGTTGGAGGAGCAACCGGCTAAGCTGGCTGAAGCCTTTCGGCTGTTCTTGCAGGGCGAGGGCTACGGTAAGTGTTAGAATACCACGCACACACTGAACAACTGAACCTCAACAACCTATCAGCTACAAAAAAAATCTACAACAAATATATAAATCTACAACTAAAACAATCTACTTACCACCTATTACAAATCTACCTGCTGCTACTCTAGTCAAATTTTCAGTACCTCCCTTCAATTGGAACCCAAACGAATGAGCAAGACAACAGAATTATCTTTAAGATAGAAGAATCCCATACGAGTATTCAATTCAATTCAATTTAGATCAGTTCAGTTCAGTTCCGTTGAATTCAGCGCAGAGAATTGGATTATCTCAAAGCTACCCTCCTACCTCCCATTCATCACAATCAAAATGCAGTCGCAATGAACATACTAGAGCATATATATATATACCCTATACCTTATAGAGTTACACACAAAAGTCGCCTTCTCTCTTTCCACTACCTAAACTTAAAAACTTAGCCTAAAGTCTCCTGTTTACATATATATTGAAGAACGAATTAGTAACGGCAAAGCTTTTCAACCGCTTTCAGCGAGCAAACCAAACAAAAAATCTTTAAAATTGTTCAAAATTTTATATAAGTATTATTGAATTGGACATACAAATTATATATACATATATATATACTTATTCGAAAAAAAAAAAACAAAGAAAATTCGACTTGTTTGTTAGCCAAAATATTTGTACGCCTAAAAAAGAAAAAAAAAAACGAAATTAAATAAATGAAAATTGAAAATCAAAAAAACCAAAAAGTTGTTGAAAATCAAGCGTTTACTTTTATACCATTTTTATTATAATTCCCAAAAAACTTTTTTTTTTAGTTAGTGACTTAGCCAGGGCGTTGCTTCACATAGACCAGGCCCCCCAATATACACGAATACACCTAAATTCTAAGCCAAAAATTCTCAAAATACCAAAAACAAATGCATTTTCGCAAAAAAAAAAAAAAAAATTCAAACAAACAACGAAAAAATATTTCAATATTTTCATTACTTTGTTTTTCATTTCTTTTTCCTTTCTCCTAACTGCTTGTTTTTTGCTAAACAAACATACAAATACAACAAAAACAACAACAATATACAAATATATTTCCCTCTTTCAAAAACAAACATTATATGACACTCAATGCCAAAATACACACACGAAATACCCTGTAAAACGCCTGGCCGACCATCCTCGCCTGCCTCTCGTCATGCATCCATCTAAAAATACCCATATGCACTCGACCTTGGGCGCCGAAACTAACCTCGAATAAAAACAAACAAAATATAAATATTTAAAAATTATGTTAATCGAATCGAATTTCATTTAATGACCAAACGACGTTTTTGAAACTTGGTGCATCAAATTCGATATATGAATTTTCTTTATTCTTTTCGTTTCTCAACTTAATTTTCTCTTACGAAATTCTGTTATTAATAATGTATGCAATCAATATGTGCAACAACAATAATAAACAATATTAATATATGGTATGTATATTTGTACACACAAAACAAATCACATTTTAAAAAAAAATCCCTGGCAAATAGTCTCCGAGAAACCCCAGTAGACAGTGGCAAAATGAAAACATGAAAAACATAGTTGAAATGCATTTAGCTAATTAATAAATAAATTAAAACAACATACATATACGAAAAGTAGGCAATGCTTAACACTCACACATACACACATTCACAAATACCGAATAGTTTGTCATTTGTTGTGCAAGTATTGGTAAGCTTTGAAAAAGCTTGCATACATTTTAGCACTTGAACTCTGTGCGTAAAAGCTTTCAGCTGCAAGTGACAAACAAAACGACACGTAGTTTGCTTATAAGTTTTATACAATACCCTTATACCCAGTAACAGTACAGCAGCTGCTCTCTTATACTCTCTCTATCTTTCTCTCTCTCTCTTTGCCTACATTTGGCACTCTGTGCCCTGCTTTGTTTTGCTTGTAGTATTTGATTTATTTTCAGCAACTACACAAATGCACTTATATTTTGCTTATACATGAATATAAATATAATTTATTTGATGTTTTATTTATTTTGTTTATTTACACGCAATATTTAAAATGAATATATCGTTGCATTTAACAATGCGTAGCTGTTGGCACACTGCAAAAGTTGGCACGCAAAATGTCAGCAGCCAGTCGGAGCAGCTCCACGCAAATTGAGCTTTGCGTGCAATGAGAGCACTGCGCCGCCCAAATTGGAGTTGGAATGGGGCGTGGTCGTGAGCGCGGGCAAACGAGTGAGAGAAATTGGAAGACACAAAAACAGAGATGAAAGCACAGCACGCTGAGACCAAAACACACATACAGACATACATCAATGCAAAAGATAAACAATAAATAAAACAGAAATCCACACACAGTCAGCAACAAGTTGAAGCTTGAGCTTTTTGAGGCTTTTATATATGTATGTATGTATGTACTTTTGTTAACTGTGATTTTCCATTTTCTTTTCACTTCTGATTGTTGCTTCTTAAGTGTGTTATTTTATTCAATTTATTTTGTATTAMATTTAGTTATTACGTATGTATGTATATAGTTGAGATATACATAAGTCTAAATTGTTGTATTGATTGAACAGCAAATGCTGTTGTTTGCAATAAAAGAAAAACATTACACGATATAATTTTTTGTGTATTTATTTATTTTTTCACGTGCCGCAAGAGTTGAGCTGTGTACTTGGGCGCTCGTTGCTTAGACTCACACACACACACAGATCCACACATACAGTGCGTAATTCTATTAAAGCAATAAGTTTATATTTATATACATAAAACATATACAAATATACATACATGACAATGCTACAGAAAAAAAAAAAAAAAAAAAAAAAAACAATATGTAAGGATATATATACTATATATAATATACATATATATGATCTAATATGGAGCTATGCAAGAAATTTCACAAATTGTAAGCTTTTGTTGTGTATTTGAATTCTAAATAAATGAACAAAGTCAACGATTTCCAATTCCGAATCATTTGAGCTGGAGCAAATTGCGCAAATTCACTCGCCGCTCTTTAAATCCAATTTACTTTCAATGTCTATTTGTTGTTATTGTTTCTGGTTTTCGAGTCTATGTCTCTTCACAGCAGCTGATAAGCAGGTGGCGCCCTACTCTCACCAATCAGTTAAGTGCATGCAGCGCGCTCTMTCTTTCTCTGTCTCTCATCATCATCAGCAAGAACATTTCTCATTACCGCCTCGCCAACATCATCATCAAAAGCTCATCCGCAGCTAGTACAACAAAAGAACAACAACAACAACAGCAACAAATCGCAGCAACATCCCGTGATATGCAATGGCCAAGCAACATCATCAATGCACTCACCCGATTACACGCACACACATACACACATGCACACACACATAGAACACGCTACAAAGAAAACATAACACCAGCAGCAAATCCTTAGAACGTGTATAAAGAACACTCATAAAAACAAAAACAACAACAATAACTACAACTACAACTAACATGCTCTCAAAAGTAACGTAACGTAAATAACAAAAGCCAAACTACTACTACCTTCCCCCTCCACAAAAAATATATATACTACAACAACTACAACTACAACACTGCAACTATAACAGCAACGCCGCTGTCAACGCCAGCTAGTTCTCCCTGCGGCACCAAATATCATACGTACTCATCGATATTCTTTGCCAACTTTCGTGAGCAACAGCTACAGGCCGCCCAGGAGCGAGAGCGAGAGCGTCAGCTACAGCTGAGCTTACGCATCGGTAATCGGCTACGAGAGACGGCAATCAATTGCAGCGGTAGCGGCAGCAGCAACAGCAACAACAATGCTAACAATGACCCGACAAGTGAAGACGATCTGGATGCAGAAAATGGAAACGGGAATGGCAATCGGGCATATGTGACTACTGATACATCCGGCACGCTCTACTTTGGCACACAAAGCAACAAGATACGCATCACTGAGAATCCACTGCCTGAGCCAATTAGCTCTTAGATTGTTAAAAGCTACTCTTATACTTAAAAAAAAACACACACATACTCAACCAAAGAGAGCAAGAGACGAGACAGACACGAATACAAACACACACTGTTATTGTTGTTATGAACTACGTATAAATATACCAAAACACACACACACACACACGTAGACACAAACAGCAGCAGCCGCAGCAGCAGCAACCGCCAACTCAGACGCCAATTCAAGCAAAGCTTTATCCGCCATCAACTGTGACAGTGTGACCAGAGCAGCCAATCGCCGCCTGTATGTAGACTTTAGCCCGAGCCGCGCTCCAAGCGACAAACAAAACAAAAATGGAAATAAATAATAAAAATATGAATAAACGAATTGAGTTAAAACGAAGACACCGCTACCTATACAAGATATTGTACTTATGTTTCTTAAACAATACATAAATCCAATTAAATACCACTTAGTACCCGAAATAACGTTCGAATTTTCCTAGTTTCTGATTTAAATAAAACTAAAAAATAAAAATAAACAAAAATCGAAATGAACACAAAAATAATTGTATTGCAGAGTAATATTGAAATATTTGTAATTTACACTTTGTGCCTGAGCGTTAAATATGCAAATACACATAGATACTTACGTATGTATTTGTTGTCGGTTTTTAGTTAAAAACAATTGAAATATCAAATATACAAAATTAATACGAAAAACCAAAAAAACACAAAAAGAACGACAAACAGAATACTTTACATATAATGCGAGTTTAATTTCTATTTAGACATTATGCAATAAAAATACGTGTATTTTTTGGATGCGACATATTTTATGAAGAGCTTGCTTAGTTGTTGTGAAAAAAAAAGAAATAAAAAATAAAAATAAAAAACTAATAAAATAAATGAACAAATTACAAGCTTAATGTTAAACGAAAAAGAAAAACAAAAATAAATACATTAACTTAATCCCAAGAGCAAAAAAATAAAAAATACATGTAGCATATCAAAAAACAAGCTCTCAAAATTACATATACATTATAAATATTTAACTAGTTATTAAAAACAAATACAAATATAAATAATTGAAATTCATACTGAATTGCATTCAATAAAACAAAAAACACAAACGCATAAAGGCAACTTAGGTAAAACAAATGCAAATAAAAAAAAATAAATAAAAATAAAATGAAAACAACAGATTCACACACACACACAAAGATAAATAATGAACAACTTTTTGCAAATAACTTCAAATTCAATTTAATAAAAGTTTTAGAAGCTTGCGTCCCGTTGTTTTTATTTTCTTACTCTTAATGATATAAATTAGCTTAACTATTAACAGTTAGTCAGTCACTTGGGTTGCTGCATGAGCAGCTCCTTAACCATGCGGAATGTTGCCTCTCGCTCCTGGCGCATTACACTGGACAGCTCCTGCAGGAAGTGCGCCTGCATTTCCCGTTGCTCGCGCAGAAATCGATCCTGGGATTCCTTGAGGGTGGACAGCAGCTTCTTCTGCCCCTCGCTGATGCTAGTCAGCACCTCGAGGGGCGTTGGTTCTGGCGGCATCTCGAATGAATCCTCAAAATCCTCGCTCTCGGCTGCGGCACGCAACAGATCACAGCTGGAGCCGGAGCTGCTGCCTTCACTGTCGCTCTCCAGTGCCGCCTCCGTCTTGGTGGACACGTCCATTTCGCTGGTTGCCACATTTTCAACTGCGTTTGCTTTCCTCGTACGCTTCTTCTTCATCAGTTCGTCGAACATCTCGAAGTGGCGTGGCAGCATCCGCACGTTTCCCAGGCCCTCCTTCTTAACCTCTCTATAGCGCCGCAGCAGCAGGCGCAGCTTATTGCGCAGCTGATGCGGCGTGCGTTGATAGGATTGCTTAGCCAGGAGGCTCGATATGTAGGCCAGAGTCTTGAAGTTGCGCTTCTTGGAGCCATCCAGAGCACGGAACAGATTTTGCTGCTTGATGATGGCTAGAAAGGCGTCCACCTCGTAATCGGACCAATAATACGAATCCGGATGACCTGACCGAAAGAGTTGAATATATAATCTCAGCAGATTACTCATTTGATTTTAGAGAGCGTAAATTCTCTGGTCAACCTACGATTGTTTCTGGATGTCTCCGCGTCGCCTTCGTCGCTGTAAATGTAATCGGATTCACTGCCGCTGCTGTAGTTCGCTTCGGGCTCAGCGCCTGGTTTCTTCACTGGATTCAGCAGCTGGTGCATGGCCTCGTAGTGCTCGAAGGTGTCGCCGCCGTTCTTGGCCTTGTTGTATTGCCTTCTCAGATGCTGGAACTTGATGCGCAACTTTTCGGGCGCCTTGTCAAACGATCGCTTGGCCATTTCCTTGGAGAGCAGCTTGAAGATCTTGGCATTGCGCTTGCGCAGCAGCGCGGACTGCAGTCCCATGCTGCTGATGATGTCCAGGAATATGTCCACCTCGCCCTCCGCCCACTTGACGCGCGCATTCGATGGAATCACGGCACGAACTAGGGCACCTGTAAGGGATTGAATTGTAAGACAAATCGTTATACGCATAGATCTTGTATTAAACCTTCTGATTCGCTGTCCGAGCCGAGGGCCACATCGGCCTCCTCCTCGCCGCTGTCATTGGAGTCCGTTTCTCCCTCTCCAGCGCTGCTCTCTCCATGCTGCAGCGAGCCATTGAGCAATGCGTGCATCTCCTCGTAATGCTCGAACGACTCTCCACCGTCCTTCGCCTTCGCATACTGCCGACGCAGTTGATGGTACTTGACTCTCAGCTGGTCCGGCCGCTTGATAAAGTTGCGCTTCGCCATTTCCCGGGCGAGCAGCTTAAATACTTTGGCATTCCTTTTGCGCAGCAGCGGCGTCTGTAGCTTATGTGTAATTATGATGTTCAGCAGAGTTTCCACCTCGCCGTCTGCCCACTTGCAACGAAGCGGCATTTTGGATGCAGAGCCATTCGAACGATTCGTATTATCCTCATTGACTAATGTGAAAAAGAATACTAAATAAACAACACGTATACTAGCTGGTGGCATTACCTACACTCTAGCTGCTGCACTTGCTCATATTTCTGCTCCACTTTAATATCCTCATCGGGATGCAGTTGTAGCTCCTGCTGCGCTTCCTCGTCATCCGTCTCGGGCTGCTGCTTGGGCGATGCCAGCTCGTCGCCCAGCAGGTCGTTCAGATATTTAAAATATTGGCAGGTACGATTTCGATAACGTGCATTAATGTAATCATTTCTTAATTTCTTAAATCTATCTCGCAATTCCGAAACGCTCCGGCTGTGTCCCTTAGACCAACATTTGCTCTCGGCCATTTGGCTGGCCACACGCTGCCAATCCCATTTGCCGGGTCCGTGCAGCCCTTTAAGCGACTTCATAATATCAATGAGCGTCACCGTTTCTTCCACAGTCCAGCTGTCGCTGTCGAACGCGCTCATTTTGACTAAAACAGCGTTTTATTATTTTTGTTTATATTCTTGTCGTTGGCAATTTTCGGCAAAAATAAAATTCAGTGGTTCGCTCAGCTGTTTTGAGCTTGGAACTGGAACGAGCTTGTGTGAACGGAATGGTTTAACAGTGAACTGCGGTTAACATGTTGTTGAACTGTTAACCTCACATACAGAGGAATTTTCAAGAGGAATTGCAAGAAATGTTGTTATGAATATTAAAATAACTCAATTGAATATTTAATATAAGCAAATATATATTTTAATTTATATTATAAGCATTGTTTGCTTAATATTAATAGCTGCAATGTTAAAATTCAAATATTTGATCAAAAATGCGCCAGGTATTTCGATTTTTGGAATGCTCTGTTATCGATCTAAAGTAACAGACACTTGTGGCATTTGTTTGGTATTGTAGCATTGCGAGCGGGTGGTCACACAGTCTTCAACTGAATCTTATTATTGACGGTCGTTTGGCGCTGACGCTACGTCGTTTTCAGTGTTCGGAGTACGTTAATAACAACTTCCAAAATACAACCGCACAATAATAAAACAAAGTCAATGATATTGGTGCAAAAAAAAAAAAGAATACAAATACGTTACACTGTAGCAGCTTCTTCGCGTGCGTAGTTAACTTACATTGCCCAGCGCGATTAAAGTGTTTTTTGCTGTTAACAATTTAAGTTCGTCCCGCTGGCTCTTCTGCCCCGCTCGCTCTACCGTTCGTACCGCTCGCGCGTTTCGGCCGTCTCTTTCGTGTGTCGGCCCCGTTAACGCCGAGGTTCAACGCGATCGCCGCTTTTTTTTATTGCCATTGTATATTGTATTACTTATTATAATATTCCGTGAATCGGTCGCAACGCTCATTTATTTTTGTTATTTCAACACAAACAGCTTTTCTGCTGAAACATATATAATTTGCAATACAATCGATCCGAAATTCTCCGATTTCGCGAGCTTTTCGCCCAAAGCTCGGCTTTCGCGATGGAGTTGGAGTTGGGATACGCTTGAGTAGACCGCGAATTTTCTCTCCCTCACACTATCTGTCTCTCTGTCTACTGCCATCGTTGATAAACTTCGAAAATATAATTTCGATATTCCGAGCATAAACAAATCGTTGGATTGTGCAAACAATCGCAGTTCAAAATCCATCACGTTCTCACATTTATGCGCTTTATGAATTAAATAAATAATCAAACGCGTGTTGGATACGTACCCGATCCGGAGCAGGAGCTACAGCAACATGTCTATATCTGGCATTATGTTGTGGATGTCTATAGGAGCCAGCTTATTGCTGATCTACAGTTTCGACTTCACATCGGCCTCGGCAACAGCCAACGCCGGCTATGTCGATCATGGAGATACGAAAGGTAAGCAATTTCACAATATCAACAAAAAATACTGTGCTATTTTTTGCGTTTTAGTCATTATTATCTTTATGTTTCAAGTACTTGCTAGCAAATACTCTTTTTATCAACTTATTTATATGAAAAATCATCAATGTTAGTTTGTAAATTATTTTGTATTGTAAATAGATTTTAGATATGGCTCAAATAGGCTTTAAGCGATTTTTATACCAATTTTATGAGTATAGTGCTATCAGTTTCTGAGCTCAATGAGACTGAGATTCGTATATTATAACAGATTCGACCAATAGAAATGACCTAAACTATGGTTTTAATTTAACATATTACCTCTGTATTTCATCTAATTAGTGTATCCTATTAGTTATGTTCCTTATGTAGGTCTACAAATACTCAACAAATCTCGTTAAAATTGTCTACACACCTCACTCAATTTATAATTACATCACATAACAATTTTGGTTATGCTGATGCTTATAGGACTCGAGTTCGGTGGGTCCACGAGTACAGGGTATTTTTCTCAAGGCAACAGATAATAAATGCCAACTGAGATTACAGTGAGCACCCCGAGAGACGGTGCGAGCAGCACAGAGAGACAGACAGAACAGTTTTTGATAAAAGAGATTCAATTCATTGAATTGGAGGAGGAAGTAGATCTGCCGTATGAATCGTACATCTGTTCATTCTGTTGCCCTTTTGTGAACAGGTTTCCAGCGGCGACAGATTTCCCATGGTATCGCAAACAAGGAGCAGAGAGCACAGTTTTCTACCTGTTTGTTTGGTTTTGCTTTTACTTTGGCATTTACCTGTGCCTAGCCAGGTAGCAGCTAGATGGCCCATTAAGCATCTCTCTTGCCTCAGTCAGTTCATTCTGTATCTTGGCTCGAGTAAATATGAATTCAGTACAGATACGAGCACAGTTTGCACGCTTCATTGCTCTCTCACTCACTCCGCTCCATCTCCCTCTCTCTCTCTCTTTCTGTACGTCTTGCACACTGCTCAGGATCACTTTTGTAGGCGCAAACGGCAAGCGCTCTGCCAAAATTTTCTATGCCATTTGCATGTTTTTGTTTTTTTGGGGTACGCAAAGGGCAGCTCCATTGGCTCCCCTGTGTTGTGTCCTCTTGCCCCGCTGTCCACCCGCTATTGTGCAAAAAATGAAGCAAATAACCTGTTTTAGCTCTGTCTTTGCTTGTGCTGTTTATACCCTATATACGCTGTAAATGAGTAAGAAACGGGTATATTGCTGTTGAACGAGTGCTTGAAGGAGTCAGAAAGTAGAGCAGGAAAGAGAGAGAGAGAGAGAGAGAGAGAGAGAGAGAGAGAGAGAGACAGATGCAGAGAAGCTGCTTAGATTAATGTTTAATACAGAAATAATATATATATGTTAATAAACTTCAAGCTCAATAGTTCTTCCACATTACAGGGTATCTCATAGTTGTTTGCCCTTCATGCCACACACTATTACTTGTTTTTAATGTCTTTCTTGCAAAAACAAACCCACATGCATCGCATCACAGCTATACAGCTTGCTCACTCTTGCACGCTCTCCCTCTCTCTCTCTCTCTCTTGCTCTGTCTTCTGCGCCTGCGCCACTTGGTTTCGTATATGTTTTTCTTGCTTTTGTTGTACTACAGACTTCCTACCACCTGCCTCCCCGAGCTGCCTCGCCGCGTCTCGTCTTGCCGCTTTGTCTTTGCCAACTTCGTACGCATCTGAACCGTGAGATTTTATTTCATGCAAAAAAGTAGAAGTACTTGGACGGTTGTTGTTGCTGTTGTTGTTGTTGCTGCTGCCACAACTTGCAGGTGTTTTGCACACTCACACATACACACTCACACATACACACTCATACACACATGGCTCAGCAACAAGGAAACCAGCTTATAAATTATAAGTTACGCTCAGTATTTTTTTGGTTCTGTTTTATTTTTTTCGGCTTTGATTGGGCCAAAACAAGCCTGGTTTGACTGTTTTTCTGGGCCAAGTTTTGAGCTACAATCCTGATGCCTGCGGTTCATGTAATTGACGTGCAACTATTAACATAAATTACAGGTCAACTGTACGAATTCAGCTACTTAAGGACTGGGTATATAATTTTTACCTTAAACTGTGGCATGCCTCGTCTGTTCTTCATGTTTACTTTGTGTTTTAGTTGTATTAAATTGTCTATCTACAGAAGTCCCACATTTATGTATATAATTTGCATATATTTTCATATAATCATATAATCATATAATCATTAGCTTTCATTAAATAATTCTTAGTGTTAACTATATATTATTTAAAGGTTATAGCTTCTGGCTTAAGTCACTTATATTAGGCAAATGCTTTCTAAATTTCGTAGCTTCCCTATCATATTCTATTATGCCTTTATTATCTTTATTGAACAGTCTTTGATTTATTCTTTTACTATCTGCTCCAATAAAATATCTATCATATAAATAGTCATAACACTCCAACAGTCCCACCTCATCGGGAATTTACCCATTACTCAAAGTTTCTTTTGAGCTATTGCAAACTGTCTCCTATCTATAGAATTATAAACTTTGCAAAACGTGCTGAAACCTAATGCAATGCATATAGAACCCTGATCCCATTTATCAATGTGCAATATGGAATGAAAACTCATTGTGACTTGGGATTCAAAGGCTGCAAATGAATCAACCAGTCGTATATGTACATATATACATATCCATTTTAGAGTCTAAACAGCTCTCTTATCAACATTGATAACAACTACACAAACGGGGAATGTGTATACCCCAATGATAATTACCCATGCACTACCTACAAGTAAAAAAAAAAAAAAACTAAAGTAAAACATTTGATATTTCGTTTTAACATGAAAAGGCTGACAGTCGAAATTCTAAACTCGGGAGCTCTTAGCTGACGCATATTTCTACTTAAAACCTAAAGTAAGAACACCACTGATTGCATGGGACTGAGAGGGAATGATAGACGGGCAGACACAGTGTATTTTGCAATAGTATTCAATTCAGTTTATTTCCTTTCATAATATGGAAAATACATTTCAAAATTTATTTCATTATTGATTTACAATTTTTACATAGAAAACATCATTTATAAGAAAATCATAACCCTATGTCCTCTAAATACAGGGTATACAAAAACAGGATATACATGTATAGAACAGGAAAGATATTAGAATGAGTGCCGTTAAGTGCATTCCAGCGAAAAGTGGCCGACAGAAGCAGAAGGACTTAGGAACATGCTAAGTGGCACAGGCAGGATCAAATCACGCGACAAGCTGAGAATAACAGGACTTAAAAAAAGAGAGAAATAAAGAAAAAGACAGTCCACTCTCGAGTGACGCGACGGCTGACTCTTGAGTGGCAGGTAAGGACTAGGAGGACGCCCACGTTTCAAGTCTCACTCTGAGCCGCTGTCTCAGGTTCGAGGCCGCCTAAGACAATACAAAAGTATCAAATTTCATAAGGATATATGATGTTATACATATTAGCGGATGCACACAAAAAAAAAAAAAGAGAGAGAGAGAGAGAGACAAGGAGCACAGAAAAGAAAGTTCCCATATGCAAGTCCTCGAACAATTTTTAGCTGGAAAAAATAATGAAATTATGAAAAACACTTGAGAAATAACAAGAGCAAGAAGAAGAAGCAGCAGCAGCAGACGATGATGTAGTRGAGAAGTGTATCTAATTATTGAAGAGGGCGCACGCCCACTTAAGAGCGGTTCTTTGTGGCAGCCAGACGAAGTCCTCTCCAGGCTTTATCTTTATGTGCTTCAGGGTTTTTCAGTTCATGTGGCACTATCTATAGGGTCACAGAATCTGTGCACGCAGACAGACGAGGGGACGGGRACGGGGACGGACGGACAGAGTATTGTTCTTGCCAGAGATTCTCTACGATTCTCACGTATGCAAAGCAGCCTCACTCTCTTTCTGTCTCTCTCACGCCTGCGGCAATCATAAATAATAATCAATTTCCTGTGTTGTACAAAAAACAACAAAAAAAGCAACATTAACAAAATGTTTCCCATCGCTCCGCACTTAAGCGAGTGCCATATGCGATTGCAAGTTTTTCTTTTTTTGGATTTTCATCTCGTCTTCTTTTTTTTTTTTTGTTGTTGGTGAGAAAATGCGATACAATGAAAATGAATGAAAAGCGAGTGGAGGAGGGAGCCTCGGTTTTGTTTAAAATCTGTAAAATGTTTGCATATTGTTTGTTATTTTCTTTTGTTATTGTGTTGTGTCTGAATTGGTTCGTAACATTCGCGTCCATTTGGCAGCACAGTTTGACAGCCATTGGCCATCGAGCTGTGCACCAATCAGCGTGCTCTCTCGCTGCTCGCGCTCTCTGTCGCTCACATGCTCAATTGATTGCGCTGCAGCTGTAGCTGAGCGAGGTTAAATGCTGACCCAATCAACGTGCCCCCCATTTGCTCCATGACGCATGCGTCGGCTGCCTTCGCTGTTGTTCTTGCTGCCGCTGTCGCTGTCGTTTGCTGCTGCTTCTGCTGCTGCCTCTGCAGTTTGTTTGGTTTATGAGTTGGCCAAATAATAATAATAATGCGGCAGCAACAGCAGCGTGCAGCTGTCGCCTTGCAATCTCAACGAGTTGCCCTTGCAGCTCAACCCTCTCTACCTCGCTCTTCCTCACCCCCTCTCTCTCTCTCTAGCTCTTCCTTTTCTTTTTGGTTAAGCATTAAAGCGTCTGTCGCCACATTGCAGCCTGTCGCTGAGATAAACACATTGTAATTAGTGAAGGGCTGCATTCCCTCTGCC